TTCAGTACAAGAGAACTGCCCCTGTGCTGCTTATTCAATTGCTCAGTACAAGGGAACTGCCCCTGTGCTGCTTATTCAATTGCTCAGTACAAGGGAACTGCCCCTGTGCTGCTTATTCAATTGTTCAGTGAAAGAGAACTGCCCCTGTGCAGCTGATTCAATTGTTCAGTACAAGAGAACTGCCCCTGTGCTGCTGATTCAATTGCTCAGTACAAGAGAACTGCCCCTGTGCTGCTGATTCAATTGCTCAGTACAAGAGAACTGCCCCTGTGCTGCTTTCTCCAATTGTTCAGTACAAGAGAACTGCCCCTGTGCTGCTGATTCAATTGTTCAGTACAAGAGAACTGCCCCTGTGCTGCTTATTCAATTGTTCAGTACAAGAGAACTGCCCCTGTGCTGCTTATTCAAGTGTTCACTAAAAGGGGGTGAGGAGGAAGGGCTGCTAGAGGAAAACTCTTCTAGGGGAACTAAGGAGGGTATAAAACAGTGTACAAGATGAACAGCAAAGCCAAATAAAAATCCCCACAAAGTGCTAGAGGAACTGCTAAGTTTGAGCTTGCTGTTGGGTTACATGATATCATTGCTGCTGATACTCTGTACCACTAATGTGATCGGCTTACCGATGTTAATTTAAGGTTTGATGGGAGAGTCAGCGTCGTAAAGGAGTGTTCATCTCTCTCTTTCTGCAGATCTGGGCGTAACCTGAGATCCTGTATGCAGAATCAAATGAAGACTGAAACCCTGGACTACAAAAACTGCATAAAGAAGCCATTCCTCAAAATGAAATATTCACTACAGTCCAAAAGAGTGACACTCAGCCCACAGATTAACACTACTAGGTAGAAAATGTAGTCTGCTTGAACACGTAGCAAACATCAACTTGTAGTAAAATGAAATGTTTTAATTTTTTTTGAAACTATATTCTTTTATTGGAATCAGTTTCATTATTTATAAAGGGACTTTTCTCCAAAGTCACCTGTATAATAGAATTGAGTATTTCAGTGCACATTATGTATTTATTTGCATGAATTTAGTTCCTTTTTAAAGTAAAAAAAAAGTCCTGAGTTTATTGGGATAAAGCAAAAGGCTTTGGAAACATTCCGTAGTAGCATATTAAATTTCAGTGTTGAAAAATGGAAAGAGAAACAATTCTGATATTTTATGGTGGTGTTATGGATGACTGAACCTTGGTGGTAAGTAGAGGAGCAAAGGACCTACTGTGAAGGTACTGGCTGCTGTCATAGAAATGTATTTTTTGTACAGAAAAAAATCCCTTCAATCCCTGGTTTTTCCTACTGTCTTTTTAGATAGAAATAAGTATTTCATCTCTGTTACCTGAATATAAAGAATCTAAATATATACAAACTTATAAACAGCAAAGAGGAGGGATATAAACATGATTTACATAATCATGAGGTAATACTTAACCAGTAGTTTCTTAGAAATTTTTAATTGTATCACCTGGTGAGTGAATTTTCTTTTACTTAAAGAAATACTACATGCTAAGCACTAAGGGATACTACACGCTAAGCATTAAGCACCATTATACTGATGGTCAAATCTTTTCCAAGTCAGTCATAGTCATTCTATGACCATGATTCTCATTTGCATTTTGAGCAGTTCATACAACTTTGGCAAGGCAATGTAGCTTAAATGTATATTAAAGCAGTATATGCCCACCTTAAGGTCCTTCTGCAATGTCAGAGCAGTTGTAAGGTCATGCAAATACAGGTGAAATCATACAGTCCTTACTGTCACAGTCATCTCCCACTGCCATGGGCATGGTTTTGTCATAGTTGGGCTTGAGAGTGAATAACAGTGAGCTGTGGAAAATCTGCTGTGAGCACAGTCCTGCCAGTGCTTGATACTGAGCTGACCAGAGCACAGGACTCCATCTGCTCCAGGAGTCACTGGTTTTCAGGAGAGCAGGACAGCTGGCCACATTGCTGGCAGCACCCAGCCCTCTGTGTGAGCATGGGGATGCCATAAGGACTGGCAGGACCACCCCACACAGAAGTGATGCTCTAGAATCAAGATTTAATCAGATTAATTAATTATGGAACCATTGTGAGATTATATCTGCATTCATACATTGACAACTGTTGGGGCTAGAGTGTCAGCTCTGCTCATGCCAGCAGGTTCTGAGTCTCACCTGAGCACAGGCACAAAGAGCTGGAGTAATGCTGGGGGCTTGCACAGCCTGCCCTTTGAAATGCAGGTGGTGAGGTACAGCTCTCAATATAACATATATATGGTTTATATTTAGATTGATGATTTATATTTAGATTGGAATGAGAGAAAACAAGCTTACTGGAATGACCCTGTTTACAAGCTCACTGGTCACTGGAGTTTAATGATAACATCCTCATTCTATTTGCAAGTGGTATTTTTTTACAATTATATGAAAATCATATTAGAAACAAAGTCTCCTCATCCATGAAAACCTTAGGTTCTGTGAATCCATAACCAGTTAACCTAAGACACTGACATTTATACCAGCCTCCATCCCTAATGGAATAGGTCAGCTGTTTTCACTTGGAAAAGTCAACTCTGATGCTTTGCAATATTTGTGGCAAACTATCCCTGTAACAAACTGAATGCACTATGGAAATGTCATATAGAACTCACTGTGCAATATTGAGTCAATACACTGTACAGATTTGATCAAAAGATTAATATTAATGTTTAGGTAGTATTTATTGGCAAGATGTTTGTTTCAAACATAATACATTGTGTTGATACTTATGAACAGCCTAAATACAATAAATTGTATTTTACATATTGAGAACATGTATGTAGTAGTTCTTCCCATTGCTTAGGTATTTATAATTTGGTTTTTTGCTTTTTTTGACATTCACCACACAGTTTCTTAAATGATTTCTCCTGCAAAAATCTCAGGTAAAACCCAGATCTACCAGAAAATTGCTTCTGGAATATCTTCTGGAAATACCCAAGGTGAACCTCAGCAAATGAGAGTGAGCAGCCCATGGAAGTGCTTGAAATGCCATCTCAGCTCACCCTGTATTCAGGAGGCAAGAACTCAGATTGTTTTCCTGCTCAGAAGGATCCCAGCTAATGTAATGTTTTCTTTCCAGATCCTTGTTGGGTACCCAGGAAGGAACTGGAAATGCAGGGTATGTGTTTTATGGGAGCTCCTTGGGTTGCAGTGGGGTGCCAGTGAAAAAAGCTGGGCACTGAAATTCTGTTGAGGGCCCAGGCTGTGGCTTTTTGGGTAAATCAGATGTGCAGATCACCTGGAGGTGCAGCAGTTCAGCTTTCTGCCTTGTCAGGAGAGAACTGAGCTGTGGCCAGCTGTCCTCTCGACTTCAGTGTAGGTTTTATGGTCAGCCTGAAGGTGGCTTGTGGAAGTGCTCAGTTCAGTCACTGAAAAAAGCACCTTCTTAATTTAGGTGCATTGTTTCATTTCCCCTCTTCTGAGGGCCTGGGGAAAGTGCTGAGCCAGCTTGTTCCGAGTGACATCAGTGCCCAAACTGTCACCAGATCCAGTGAGAATGAGTCTGACATTGCATCTTGCACTTCTGTCTTGCATGGAGAAATGCTGTGGGTTTTGCACTTCAGGGCCACTGCCTTTTTGTGTGGGGGTGCATGGGCTTGCCACCTGTGAAAATCACCTCTTTGTTCCTGAGGTAATGGTGAAAACATCAACCAGGATGGGCCTCAACTTCCCATCAGATAAATGACACTTGGAGGAACAGGACACTGAAGTACCCATTGTGTTTTTTGCTCACTAAAGGCTGTCCGGGAGGCTTTGGAAAACCCATGGTTTCGAGATTCCCCTGTTCATATTTCAAGCTATTTTGTGTCAGAAACACCTCTATTCCATAAACGTGTGGAGAGAAGGGAGCTGTAGCTGGGGCCTGTCCTGTTAAACAAAAATGCTATATAAACAGGAAGGGTGGAAAGGGATATTGCTAGAGAAAGAGCAGCCTCTCCCTCTTGCACTCCTGCCGTGAGGAATGCAATAGGAAATTCCTGCTCCAGGATTAACAATCATAAGGAAAAATAGTTTTAAAAGCATGTGTGTAAAACTCTTGTGAAAAGTACAGATCTCATTCCAGCCACTGCTCTAGCACATAAACAGACTCTATTTCCCTGCTTCAAAACAAAACAAAACAAAACAAAAGCCAAGAACGCGGATGTAAAACTAAAGTTCGCCTTAGGAGGGACGCTAAGGGATCCGGCCAATTCTTGATAGCGATCTGAGAAATTGCAACAGAATTGATTCCAACCACCTATTTTTAGATTTTCTAACGGGGATGTAACATGGAGACAGCTGTATCTCAAGACAGACAGAGTGAAGCCAAGCTGTGCTGGCACATTGGGCACCTTGAGCTGGCTGTGGGACCAGAGGTGAGGCAGCCACGGTGCCAGGGACTGTGGCAGTGCCTGTGCCAACACAGGTACAGCAGGGCTGGGTCACTGCCACGCTTTGCTTAGGGCACCTTCAGCAGCTCACCTGCAAAGGGCACTGAGCAGAAGGCACAGGCCGGGTGTGCCCTGTGCTGTGTGCCCTGTGCCGGGTGCCCTGTGCTGTGTGCCCTGTGCCGGGTGCCCTGTGCCGGCTGCCCTGTGCTGTGTGCCCTGTGCCGGGTGCCCTGTGCTGTGTGCCCTGTGCTGTGTGCCCTGTGCCGGGTGCCCTGTGCCAGGCCTGCACCGCGTTTGGGGCGGTGTTTAGGACAGTCCCGACGGACTGGGTAAAAAACTCACCCCATGACCCTGAAAAACTGTATCTCCTCTGATGAAAAGAATACACGTTCGGGCGGGCCATTAATGTGGAACAAAACAGCCAAAAGGATTTAAAACACTATTTGAGAGGCAGCACCCGGTAAGTCCCTCGGCCGCCAAGCAAGGCCCACAGCAATGTACCGCCGATGTCTTTCCAGGGATGCGGGCGGTCCCTGCCGATGGGAACGTGCCCGCTTGGCCCCGCCCCGGAGGCGGGGAGCCTGGGGCGGGCCGGGCCGGACTGGGCCGGGCCGGGCCGGGCGGAGGGGCCGCCCCGCCTCTTAGTCGGCGGCAGCTGCTGCTGCTGCTGTGGGGCCGGCGCCGTGGGCAGCCGCCATGCCGCGCTCGCTGAAGGAGGAGACGGCGCTGCTGCTGGAGGATTACTTCCAGCACCGCGCCGGCAGCGCCGCGCTGCCCTGCAGCCCCACGGCGGGCACGCTGCGGCGGGCGGCGGCCGAGCTGGAGCGGCAGGAGCGGCCCTTCTTCCGCTCCTGCGCGCCGCTGGCGCGGGCCGAGCCGCGGGAGGCGGCCGCGCTGCTGGCCAGGGTGGCGGCGCAGCTCGAGGCCGACGGCGGCCTCAACTGGGGCCGGCTGCTGGCGCTCGTGGTGTTCGCGGGCACGCTGGCGGCCGCGCTGGCCGAGCGGGGCTGCAGCGACGGGCCGCGCTGCCTGGCCGCTCACCTGGCCGCATACCTGGCCGAGGAGCGCGGCGAGTGGCTGGAGGCGCACGGCGGATGGGTGAGCGGGGACGGGGCGGCGGGAGCGGCCTGGGGCGGGTGCCGGGACACGAGCCCCATCCCCGGTTAGCGGGGCAGGGCAGCCCCCGCCTCCGGGCAGCGGCTCGTCCCGGGGGAGACGTGCCCGTGGTACTGCCGGCGATGGGCGGGCACCCCGGGCATGGTGGCCATCGCAACACGTAGTGTGTCCCCGGGGGATGGTGACCATCGCGACACGCGGTGTGTCCCCAGAGGCTGCTGGCCATCGCGACACGCGGTGTGTCCCCGGGGAATGCTGGCCATCGCGACACGCGGTGTGTCCCCAGAGGCTGCTGGCCATCGCGACACGCGGTGTGTCCCTAGGGGATGCTGGCCATCGCGACACGCGGTGTGTCCCCGGGGAATGCTGGCCATCGCGACACGCGGTGTGTCCCCAGGGGCTGCTGGCCATCGCGACACGCGGTGTGCCCCCGAGGATGCTGGCCATCGCGACACGCGGTGTGTCCCCAGGGGCTGCTGGCCATCGCGACACGCGGTGTGCCCCCGAGGATGCTGGCCATCGCGACACGCGGTGTGTCCCCAGGGGCTGCTGGCCATCGCGACACGCGGTGTGTCCCTAGGGGATGCTGGCCATCGCGACACGCGGTGTGCCCCCGAGGATGGTGGCCATCGCGACACGCGGTGTGTCCCCGGGGGATGCTGGCCATCGCCACACGCGGTGTGTGTTCGCTGGGCCATTAGGTGCCTGCGGGTGCCCCGCACGGCCCCGTTGGGATGCAGCCTCCCATCCCGATCCCGCAGGAGCGACGCTGATGCTGCTGGGCCATTGGGGAGCGAGGTTTGCCTTCCCCTCGGGTGCACAGCCTGTGGGTTTCGGCGAGCAGGCCGGCACAGGTCCTGTCCCAGGTGTGAGCACAAACCTGTGCCTGTCCTTAAGCACACCTGTGTATGAAGGCACCCAGCCTGCAGACCTGCGGCTCCTGTTCTGTCCGTCCCGAGGCCGGTCAGGTGGGGCCTGGGGAGGAAGGTGTGGGCATTTTGTCTGCCCCGAGAGATGCTCGCTTGGAGGTACAGCTTTAAAGGCATTAATGCAGCTCTGCCTGCGTTTCTGAACAAAATGTCAGCTATCCCACAAAACTGCTCGTTTCTTATTTCCAGTCCTAGTGGAATACTTTGTCAGTACAAATAAGCACTAAAAATAGAACGGAGGGGAAGTAGCCACTGGTTTAGCTGACTTTTCCAGCAGACCAAAATGAACTTGGTTTTCCAGTGGTCACTGGTCCATCTGGCTGCTCAGAACAGTGTGGTGGTTGGCTGCAGAGAACACTGTCACTTGGCAAAATTGGCAAAATCCTATTGCCTGTTCACACAAATCAAAGTGTAAAGAACAAAGTTCCGGAAGAAATTAAGAGTATAACTTGTTTACATAGACATCTGCGGAGCAGAGTTCAAACACGACCATCTGGAGTTGTGTTGCTGCCACTTCTGATTATCACAATGATCTGGGAGAGCAGCTGCCAGCTTTGCTCTGTCATAGGTCAGCTCTGAGCAGTGTCCACCCGGCCTTTCCAAGTGGGTGTGTAATCAGTCCCACATCCACTGAGATGGGACTGGCTTTGGCTTTCTGTCTTAAAAGTGGAAATTTCCATATCCTGTGTTTTAGATGCTTTCTGAAACTTAAGTAGGAGGAACAGTGCTGGCAGCTCCCATCAGAAACTTGCCTAAAAGGGCAGAAATATGTAATGACACACTGAGCATCTCAGTAGGAAGTGTCCAATTGTCTCTTGAGCTAAGTATGCAATCACTTGTAGCTACTCCTTTCTGTTGCCTTGTGCAAAAGCTCTTACAAAATGTTTCTGCCTGTGCGCAAGGCAGTGGGTTCAGACCTCCATGACTGGACAGAGACTTCTGCAGCTGACAGAGGCTGAGCTGGGAGGATGAAATTCAAAGGCTTGTTAAAGAAACCCAGTTAACTGCGAGCTCAACAACTGAGTGTCCTTTGTGTTGGTGTTGCAGGATGGCTTCTGTCGGTTCTTTGGCAGGCCGGGCTCGGAGGCGGCCGAGCAGAGCAGCACCATCGGCAACGCCATCGTGGCGGCGGCGGCGGGCATCGGCATCGGCATGGCGGGGCTGGCCTTCCTCCTGGTGCGGTAGGACACCGGCGCATCCTGCCCAGGGAAAGTACTCTCAAAACTGACAGTTTACCAGATTTCACTTTATTTTCTATAGAACAGACCCTCTAAGAAGAAGTCTATATTTTTAAACTGGCTCAGAAAACTGCCTCACCAAATCCTTGGCTATAAACTGCTTCACTCACTACCCAGTGACGGCACAGACAGATGTGTACTAGAGCACTATTTGTGCATGTTCAAAACCTGTTATCTCCAAACATCCTCTGGACTTTCTTTTTTGAAGGTGTAAACCTAAACTTTAGCATGGTTCATGTACTGTAACTTCTGAGTGCTTGGTGTTATGCTAGGAAAACATTATGGTGGGCTTGCTACTAAACCCTCTGTTCAAGAAGTCTCATTTACCTGGAGGCAAGTTTGGAACCCGCCTTCATTAATGCTGTAAAGTGGGCAAACCTTGACTGTGATCTGATGTGGTTTATGGCTTCAAACGTGGTGCACAGCACTTGTAATCAAAAGGCAACTCCTTTGTTCATTTAGGGCAGTTGGTGCCTGTGATGCTAGAAGCATTAGGGCTTAGTGTAACATAAGGCTGAATTCATTACACTACAAGAAGGTAAGTATTGATACAGGACAGTAATGGCTGCAGAACTGGTTCCTACTGAAAGGAAAAGAATTTAAATATTAAACCTTAATTGGTATATTGAAATCCAGTGAAGGCTGGAATTTCTCTGGATTTCCCTTACAAAGTGAGAATTTCCATATATCTTAATATATTTTTGAAGTATTTATCACTGTATAATACTTGTAGCCATAACATCTTTATTTTTGTTTAAAACTTAATGCTGGTTCTCGTCACTCTAGCGTGTATCAAGCGTTGTCTTGTTTTAGTAATATTTCACTCTGTTTTCAAAATGCTGTGTATTTCTTTCAATTGTTGTACAGGTTGTACAAATTGCCTTATGTTTCTGGTAGCTTTTGAATAATGTTCCTGGGTTACTCACAACTGTACAATTTTACTATGGTGACTTCAAAGGTGAATAAATGTTGAGTATTTTTATTTTAAAAAATCTTTCTGATTATTAGGTCGGATGGGTGCTGCTGCTCAGACAGTGTGTGTTTTGGTGGTTACCTGGATGCATCAGTTTGTATTCACTGTATTGCTGGTGCTTTGACCTGAGACAAGGACTTGTGAAGCACCAGAGCAGTTTGATACCAGTCTCCAGAGCAGCCCTGCAGTCCAAACTAGAGTGGAAAATCCCATCCGAAAGGTCCATCTTCAGCATCGGGATTGGAAGCAACCTGCTGGTTTTGTAGGCCAAAGTTTACTAACATAGGTGGGTGCAATCAGGCTCCTCTGAGAGCTTGTAGAGAGTGACAGAGCTCTTGTTTCTTCTTTGCCAGGACTTGCTGCTGCCTCTCTCACACGTGCATGCTTTTTACTGAAACTGAAGTTCTGGTCCATGTTATGATGACAGCTGTGCAATGTGCTGGTGGAGTTCAACCTTCCTGGATTAGTCCTCCTGAGCAGCTGTACTCTTTGAGGGTGTTGGGCAAGGCTGGTCTCCTGCCCCTGTGTCCAGTCTGGGGGCTCTGATGCCTGTTCCAGCTGCACGTCCAGTGGGCAGCCAGCTTCCCCTTGGGAAAGCTCAGGTCAGCATCCCTGTGGCTGCCAGTGGCCACCCTGCTTCTCCTTCTGCTGGCCACCGGGCCTGAGGCAGGCGTGCTGGACAGAGCAGCCTTGTGCTGGCTGGCCACAGATGTGGGACAGGGACAAAAAGGGGCATTCAGGGGCTGGTAAGTCCCACACAGGCAGGAAGGAGCTGCTGGTCCTCCCCCTCACGCTGCTGGCTGGAATAAACGTCTGCTTGTTCTCCAACTTCCAGTTCTCTAACCTCCAGCTTGCCTCCTCTCAGCAAGGGGATTGGGAGCCCATGGTGCAGGGCTGTGCTCAGTTCCTCTCTCAGGTTCCTGCAGGGCTGACACCCCTGTGTGTGACAGCTCAGTGCTCTGGGTATCTGCCTGCAGACATCCAGTGCCCGAAACTTTGCCCACAGTGGGAATGAGCTGGTGGGTCCTGGGAACTGGAAGTAGTTTCTAAAATGTGGGATGCTTGTATGATGAAAAGCATGGGGAATGACAGGGCAAGAAATGCTCTAAACAAAGGTCAAATGTCTCTCCTGTGCCAAACAGAACAAAGATAAAATATCTGTATCTTGATTTTCAGTGTAATCTGATCTGGCAGGCTCCACAGAAACAATAGCAGAGAGGATATTTATGCTGGCTTTTCCAGTGTGCTCTGGAAAAGTGAAAAAACCCCCATCAAACCCAGCCTGGAAATGCCCTTTAACGGTCACATCAGCTTTTGGTGTAAACCTGACCCTTTCCAAAGTGCAGCTTGAGGAGCATGTGCCAGTCTTTCCTGGCCTGGAGAAGCTGGGAGTGGGCTTTCTGGGAGCCAGGGAGGCTGCAGGCTGGGTCAGGAGGCCGCAGGGGCAGCACTGCCTGGGCCAGGCTGCTCTGGTCCCTGCTGGGAGCCTGAGCTCAGTGCCCTGGAGCAGGGGCACAGCCCAGGCTGCTGCAACAGGCACAGGTGGGAGCTGCCCATCCCAGCCAGGGCCAGGCTCCCTGGGCTGCTCTCTGACGTGGCAATGTGGGATTGAAGAGCAGAACTTAAATCACTGGAGCCCTGTTGATTTCAGGGCAGTTCAGACTAACTTACGTTTGCATGACTTCTGGTTTTAAAAGAAACTATTTCAGTTTCAGCCTGACATTTTGTCTCAATGAAGTAATATATTTCTCAATTGAAAACTGCTGCTCATCTGCTTTCTGCCTCAGAAGAGGGAAGCAAGATGCTGCTGTTCCTTCCTTTAAAAGCAGAAGGGGAGTGAGTGGGTGGTGTTTCAGTGCAAGGCTGTGTCTGATCCTCACGGCAGCTTCTGTCTCTCCAGCACTGTTGTGCTTCCCAGGCCTGTGGTGGATGCAGCAGGCTCATCCTGCCTGCACATAAGCAATTGCTGCAGGTTCTGCTGGGCCCCATCCTGCACAATCCTGGCTTGCTCCAGGGCTCTTAGTGCTGGCAGCACCTGCATTTGAGGGAAAAGGAGTGAAGGTGCTGCCTGGGCTCTTCCATCACCAGTTTTGAGTCCCTCCTGTGCTGTGTGTGAAGATCTGTGCAGGGCTGAGGGCTGGGGAAAGCAGTGTTCCCACTTCATAGAGGTGCTCACAATGGTCTGACAGGAGCTGTCAGTGTTATCTCTGGACCTGCACCTGCTCCCTGCCCAGTTCTGATCTGTAACCAAGGTTGCAGTGCTGTTGCAGCAGCCCAGCTGCTCATTAAAGGAAAAAGCAATTTATTCATCAGCCTTAAGAGTGCTGAACTGGCCAGTGGGTTTCTTTTTGACTTGGAAAAAGTGAGGCACTGTTAGAGCTGAAAAAATGTGAGTTGCAGGCTGGTGTTACATGGCAGGTGCTGAACTGCTTTGCTGTGGTATGCAAAAAATCTGGTCTGGCACGTCTCACTGGAGAAATTGGTGCTGGTGCTGTGTCCTTTCCTGCCCATGCACACTGCAGGGTGGTACCCAAGCCTGGGTAGCACAGGAGAGCCCTGTTACAAATGACTTAGCAATTGGACAGCCAGAAAACCCCCAGAGAATCACTGGAAACCAAAAAGGTCAAGTGGCACAGCATTTATTCACGTAATTTCACTTCTTGTGCTCGTTCTGTTTAGACAATGAAAAGAAACTTCTGGGTTTCACTTCTGTTTCTCCAACTGCTTTCTGTACCAGACTCCAGCTGGGTTGTCCTTGCCAAGAGAAAATGCTGTCATGGCTGGGAAATCACTTGCTTTCAGGTTTAAAAGGTATCAGTGTAACTCCTTCTTAAATGCTGCCATTGTTAGGAGCACTTAAATGTTATCTTCAAACTGTTAACAATTATCCTGTCACTAACTGGAGTTTTTAAATGAGAACAGAGTTAAAAATAAAAACATAAAATCCTGATTTACTTAAAGTCAAGTGCAGGAAGTCTAAAAATCAACTCTGCTGAACTGACGAGATCATTTTGTTGGATTTTTTCTCTGCCTGGGCTTGGTCTATTTGTTTAATTCAAATGAGAGGTGAAGAGAGGAGCTGGCTTTCTTTGTCAAAGTCTCTTTTCACACAGGCTGTGTCTTTCTGCCCAGTCTGTGGTAAGTTTCCAGCACTACAGCCTGGCACTGATACCTGCCCCTTGGCAATCTCATGGTTTCTGGATGCTCGCCCAAGCTGGTGTGTGTTGCACATTTCTTTCAGTTAAGAATTAAACCTGTTAAAATGAGTGCTTCAGTTGAGTTAGGGCCATGCTGGCCATGGGAGTGAGTGAGACTGTGGAGTTCTGTAGTAAGAGACTGCAGTGCAGGGCCTTGGGAAGCTGTGTGCAGAGAGCCACTGCAGAAACTTGGTGCTTTCTGCATTTAATCCCTTTAATGATCCTGACCTGTGACTACAGTTCACTTGAAGAAGTTCTTGTGTTTGACCCAACCTGCTCTTTTGTTTGTCTGAGCAGCTCAGCACACGGTGAGTAACAGCAGGAGCCCCACACCCTGCTTACAGCATCTGCTGCTGTCTGTTTTTGTTATCAAAGGTGGCTGATACCCTTGAGAGGCTGTGGGGAAGGGTGGCCTGCTTCAGTCTGAGCACAGGGGAGGTTTCTGTGCTGCTGTGCACCTTGGGGGGCTGGACATGGCAGCTGGAGCCCTGCTCTGCAGCCTGACACCAAAGCCAGCAGTTCTGGCTGGCACTTTCAATTTGCAATGCATAATAGCAAAAGGGCAAAACCACTTGCCTTCATCCAAGGCTGGGGAGAGCACTGTTTGTAGTGTGCTACCTAATGGCTGGTTGGCCTCTTCCTTGGAGCTGTTGTTGTCTTCAGGAGAATCCCAGGCTGTTGTTATTAATTTTGAAACATTAATTATGAGGCTTTATGATGAGCTCATTGGGAACTCCTAAAACACAGGCAGAGCCATGTGGCTCAGTGAGGAGCTGGTGCAGGGCACACACTGGAAACTCCTCTCTCTCTGGGAACTGTGACGGTGTTCACAGGGGTCTCAGGTTGGGGGAAGAGACAAGGACCTGACTCCATGGTTCAGAAGGCTTGATTTATTACTTGATGATATATATTACATTAAAACTATACTAGAAGAATAGAAGAAAGGATTTCCTCAGAAGGCTAGCTAAGAATGAATAAGAAGGAATGAATAACAAAGGCTCTGTCTCAGACTCTGTCTGAGCCAGCTGGGCTGTGATTGGCCATTAATTAGAAACATCCAACATGGGCCAGTCACAGATCCTCCTGTTGCATTCCACAGCAGCAGATAATCAATGTTTACATTTAGTTTCTGAGCCTCTCATCTTCTCAGGAGGAAAAATCCTAAGGAAAACATTTTTCATAAAAGATGTCTGCGACAGGGAACTGCCAGCAAAATCTCATCACCCATCCTGCTGGCACACAGGCTGACCCTGCTGCTGCTCTGGCTGCTCATGGCTGCTTTGTGCCCCCACCAGGGGCATTCCCCCTGTCCTTAGGCAGAGGATGTGCTCCCAGCTTTGCCTGCAGGGAGGCACCCAGGGCTGTGCTGCCCTGGATGGGCATGGCTGCCTCTTGGTGCCAGGCACAGCCCCATGAAGGAGTGGCCACAAGGTGCTGTGCTGGCTGGGTGGTGGTGAGGTGACTCTGATGGATGATTCTGCTGCGTGAGCAAGAACAAATTCCACCAGCTGTGTGTGAAACAGCCTTGTAAAGCGTGCTGGCGTGATCAGTAGCAGCTGGGAGCTGATGGTGCTTGACAGGCAAGGCAAATGCTTGTTTCCTGATATCCAGCAGAGATTTAAATGTGGAATCTAATGATACTGGGAGCCTGCAAGTGATGGGGCTCCCTGGGCATTTCATACCTGGGCTGGATTGGTGGTGGTTCCAAGGAGGGGCTGTGCTGGATCCTCGCACAGCCCATGCAGAGGAGCACCACTGGGTGTGACAGAAACCCCTCAGTTTTGTGGCTCTGGATAGTCTAAATGTGCAAGGTTTGAATATTTTCCCCCTTTTTTTCTTATTTTTTCCCCAAACACCTGTATGCCCTGAAGGACAGAGCCCTGCAGTGCCTGACTGGCCTGAGCACAGCACAGGTCACTCAGGGCTGTGGCATGAAGAGCCTGCCATCCCTAAGTGTTCTCACTCCTGTAGGCAGCTCTCTCCCACAGCAGCATCACCCTTCTCCTCACTAGAAAAAGGAAAAATAATTACTCATAAACTCTTTTGAGCAAAGCACAAAACAGCACAAATCTTGCCTGTGTCTGTTTTTAAATAAAGGAAAAATCATCTGGGGTCTGTGTGTTGTCCTTGGTGATGTTCAGAGCAGAACACCTGCCACTCTGAAACCCTTCCAGGTTTCCTGGCTGCTTTTTCCAAGCCAAGTCCTGCTCCATGGGAGGAAAAGGTTACGTGTGGGAGTGAGCAGGGCAGAAGATTATGTGAAACAGAAACCCTGGCGCTGTTTGTTCTGCCATCTGCTCCATCCAGGCTGTGGGTGGCTCCCCAGAGTGGCCCTGCTCCCCGTCCTGCAGGGCTGGCAGGGCTGTGGGCTGTGGGAGGCACATCCCTGCTGTGCTGGGAGCTGTCCCTGTGCAGGTGCAGCTGTGGCACTGCTGGTGGCCACGCTGGGGCTGCCCCTGGGAGCCTGCTCCAGCAGCAAAGCCTGGATGTCACTGCCTTTGGCACAGGCTCAGGGAGTGCCAGGGTGGCTCTCTGTGCCATCCCTGCAGGGAGCACTGGGGCAGGACAGCCACAGCTCCCCTGGCACTGCATGGCTCCAGCATTGCAGCAGTGGTGCAGGTGCTCCCAGGTGAGCAGGGCATTCCTGCCACCATCCCTGGGCAGGGCAGGCTGAGCCCTGCTCAGCTCTGTGCCACACACACACACACCCCATCCTGCCAGGGCTGAGATGTGCTGAGTGTGGGAGGATGGAGGTGGCAGCTTTGTCCCTGCTTCAGGGACAGCTGGTGAAAGAAAGATGAAATCATCTTGCCTCTTACCCCTAGAGCCCTTTTCTGCTCTGCCTCCACCCCCAGCCCCCTTTTCCTGCTCTCCCCTGGTCCCCAGGCTGGCCGTGCCCGGGTATGGGGTTGTGCATTCCTTGTTCCACATCCCCCTCTGCCCCCTGCCCACCCTCCCCACAGAGTGCTCACTTGGGAATGTGACCTTGCTCCCTAGATTATTTACAGACAAAATATTGCTGCAGGCCTGGGGAAGGGTTTTCTGTGTTGTTTTTGCTTTTTTTTTTTTTTAAGTGACTGGATTCCACAAAAAGTGAATTATTCCAAGGGCGTGGGGGCCTGGTGGGAATGCTTTGCTCTGTTTGGGAACAGGCTGCCTGCAGCCATCCTCCCTGGCCAGCACAGGGGTGCTAGAGGCTCAGTTTCCCCAGCGATACAGAACAATCTGTCTCTGGTTTTCTTGGAAAATCCCACCCCTTGCTGGGGGCAGGCTGCCAGGAGGGGGCAGGAGCATTAGCAGGGCTGTGGCACACATGGAACAGGGCCTGGGCTGCCTCCAGGGTGTGTGTGAGCAGAGGTGTGTAACCCAGAGAGCTGCCTGTGGGTTAGTGCACAGTCAGGGCTGCTGAAGGTGGCTCCCCTCCCCTCCCCACAGCCCTGGAGCTCTGCACTTCCCCTCCCTTGGCAGCTCCTGGGCTCCTGCTGCACTTGCAGCACGCTGGGTTTGCTGAGGAGCTCAGACAGCGCTGTCACATCCGATCGGAAGCTGCGGTGGGCTGATTTCTCCTTTTCTTTTGCTTTTACTGGCAGCACCAGCAGCTGCCCTTTTCCCACTGCTGACAGCTCTTGTGTCTGGCTGAGCTCCTGAATGCCTCATGGAGGTGGTTTCCCATTGAGCAGAGCCCTCTTGTCTCTGACCTTGCCCGGCCCTGGCCGTGTCCCCTGGTGTGGCTGCTGGAGGCACAGAGCTGTGCCCTGCCGGTGTGTTCCAGCTGCACTGCCTGCTTGGATGGGGCTGGCCTGGGCTCCCTGCCTGGCACAGCTTTCCTTACAAGGGCAGCATGAGCCTTCAGGTGCCCAGAGCCTGGGAGTTGTCCTGAGTGAGGCTGTGTGCTCAGCTTTTATGTGGGAGTGAGCACTGCCAGCCGAGCTAAACCCCATCACAGACAGCGAGTGCCTGTTTTGCTGTGGGAAGGGCTCTGGTGCCAAATCCCTTGGTCTGGCCTGGCATGCAGCGTGGCTTGGTCTCTCTGGAGAAGGAGCTGGGGCT